TTACTATTAGTATAGTCATTATTACCATTGTTATTGTTATTATAATTTATAATTATTTATTTTTATTATTCGTAATGTCATTATTATCACTGCTGTTATTACAATTATTACAATCATGATTTTATTAGTAATATCACTATTATTATTATTATTATTATTATTACTATTATTATCATTATTATTGTTATTACTATTAGCATTACTGTTATTTTCATTATTACTATTATTATTATCATCTATCAATATCATCATTGCTGTCATCTTTACTATAGTTGTTATTATGTTATTATCATTATTGTTATTGTTCTTATTATCATTATTATTATTATCATATAGTAATGATAATGAAAAAGTAATAATTATAATAATGATAATAATAATAATGATAGTAATAATAATAATAATAATAAATAATTGTTATAATAGTAAATGAAGATAATAGTCACATGATACTAATAATTCCATGAATAATGGTTATTACTTCTATAACATTATTATTACTATTTTTTATTTTTCTTATAATGAGGATGATAACTATTATTACCGCATCATTATCATTATATACACATCGATCATACGAATTATAATAAGAACAAGAAAATAATTACAATCGCATTATAGAAAAGGTAAAATATTAGGAATTAAGGTATGGTAATGGCAGAATGGTGGGGGCGACTTGGCAGTGATGGAGGCAGCGTGGGAGATGACGCGGATTGGCGGAAATATACACACACACACACACACACACACATATATATATATATATAATTGTGCTTCTGACCCGCAATGTGTTATTGCTTCTGTTTATAGAAACGGGGCTGGCACCCCCCACCCACCCCTCTTCCCTCCCCTATCTTGCCTCCTCCCTCCCCTCCCTCTCCCCCCCTCCCCGCTCCCGTGCGTGCCTCCGGCGCCGAGCAGCAGGTTCGGCCAAGCGAAATACACGACAGTAACCATAGCGCCAAACACGCCGACCGATCGATGCCTCCGCGATCCTTTTCCGCTGTATCTGCTTTTCCGCTCGTTCCCGTTTATTCTCTCTTTCCTTCTCCTTACCTTCGCTTCTCTCTCTCTTTCTCTCTCTCTCGCTCGCTCGCTCGCTCGCTCGCTCTCTCTCTGTACTCTATTGTTATTCCATTTTGTTCTCCTTTTCCTTCATCTTCTCGACCGCTGTTCGTCGCCGAATGACGCCGATAAAACATTTACTTATAAAAAGGCGCGAATGTGAGCGACCGCTTTCCAAGGCATCATCGGCCTCGCTGGCCGGGGAGAGAGGACTGCTCGGCGCAGAGGATGAAGGGAATTGCAAATAAGAAAATAATTACAATCGCATTATAGAAAAGGTAAAATATTAGGAATTAAGGTATGGTAATGGCAGAATGGTGGGGGCGACTTGGCAGTGATGGAGGCAGCGTGGGAGATGACGCGGATTGGCGGAAATACACACACACACACAACACACACACACACATATATATATATATATAATTGTGCTTCTGACCCGCAATGTGTTATTGCTTCTGTTTATAGAAACGGGGCTGGCACCCCCCACCCACCCCTCTTCCCTCCCCTATCTTGCCTCCTCCCTCCCCTCCCTCTCCCCCCTCCCCGCTCCCGTGCGTGCCTCCGGCGCCGAGCAGCAGGTTCGGCCAAGCGAAATACACGACAGTAACCATAGCGCCAAACACGCCGACCGATCGATGCCTCCGCGATCCTTTTCCGCTGAATCTGCTTTTCCGCTCGTTCCCGTTTATTCTCTCTTTCCTTCTCCTTACCTTCGCTTCTCTCTCTCTTTCTCTCTCTCTCGCTCGCTCGCTCGCTCGCTCGCTCTCTCTCTGTACTCTATTGTTATTCCATTTTGTTCTCCTTTTCCTTCATCTTCTCGACCGCTGTTCGTCGCCGAATGACGCCGATAAAACATTTACTTATAAAAAGGCGCGAATGTGAGCGACCGCTTTCCAAGGCATCATCGGCCTCGCTGGCCGGGGAGAGAGGACTGCTCGGCGCAGAGGATGAAGGGAATTGCAAATAAGAAAATAATTACAATCGCATTATAGAAAAGGTAAAATATTAGGAATTAAGGTATGGTAATGGCAGAATGGTGGGGGCGACTTGGCAGTGATGGAGGCAGCGTGGGAGATGACGCGGATTGGCGGAAATACACACACACACACACACACACACACACACACACATATATATATATATATAATTGTGCTTCTGACCCGCAATGTGTTATTGCTTCTGTTTATAGAAACGGGGCTGGCACCCCCCACCCACCCCTCTTCCCTCCCCTATCTTGCCTCCTCCCTCCCCTCCCTCTCCCCCCTCCCCGCTCCCGTGCGTGCCTCCGGCGCCGAGCAGCAGGTTCGGCCAAGCGAAATACACGACAGTAACCATAGCGCCAAACACGCCGACCGATCGATGCCTCCGCGATCCTTTTCCGCTGTATCTGCTTTTCCGCTCGTTCCCGTTTATTCTCTCTTTCCTTCTCCTTACC